TATACATATAGGCGCCTTCTATAGGGGCCCCCTAGGGGGCCCCTTCTACAGGGGCCTCCCAGACGCCCATTACTACGTAAGGGGCCTCTTCTATAGGGGCCCCCTAGGGGCCCCTTAATGGACATTATTGGGCCTATTCTATAGGGGGCCCCCAGGGGCTGTTATATGAGGGGCCCCTTCTATAGGGATTCCCTTGGGGCCCCTTATTATATGAGTGTACCCTTCCTTTGGGGGGCCCCTAGAAACCCCTTATCATATAAGAGGCCCCTTCTATAGGGGGCCCCTTCTATAGGGGGCCCTTAAAGACATTTCTATAGGAGCTCTTTAGGAAACCCTTTAATACGGGGCCCTTCGTTAGGGCCCCCCTTGGGGCCCCCTGACTATGGGTGGCTTTGATTTGTTATTTTTGTTTTGTAATTATTTTAACTCCTACTTCTCTTTATGCGGGTCTTTTCATAGATTATGCATGCATCAAGGTTCTCGCTATCAAAGGCAAAGAGCCGCTGCTGCAGCACTGCTGCCAGCTGCTGCTGCTTCGGCAGCTGCTGCTGCTGCAGCTTCTGCTTCTGCAACTGCTAGTTCTGCTTCTGCAGCTGCTGCTTATGCTGCTGCTTTTGCAGCAGCTGCAGCTGCTGCTTGTGCAGTTGCTGCTTAGGCAGTAGCAGCAGCAGCAGCTGCTGTTGCTGCTGCTTTTGCTGCTTCTGCAGCTGCTTATAAAGATGTTAAGAAGAATCTGTTGGGGCCCCGAAGGGCCCCTCACGGCTTGAGGCTGCCTGCCATAGCAGCAGATATTTTTGCTGCTGCTGCTTTTGCTGCTTCTGCTGCTGCTATTACACTTGCCGGCAGCCGTGGCTGCTGCTGTTGCTGCTGCTGCTGCTGGCTCATCACAGATGCCTCGACTTGTGCTGCTGCTGCTGCTGCTTGCTGTCTCGCGGCTTCTGCTGCTGCATCTCCCTTTCTGCGTGCAGCTAGTGCTGCAGCAGCGAGAGCAGCAGCAGCCGCCGCCGCCGCAGCAGCAGCAGGTGACATAGAGGGGCGTCCTGAAGCTGCTGCTGCTCCTCCATGGGGCTGTCCACTTGCTGCTGCTGCTGCTGCCGCTGTTTCCTGCTGCTGCATTCGAACAGCAGCGCCCGAGCTGCTGCTGCCTGTCGCTGGGGGAGGCCCAGGAGGGGGTGGTGGGGGTACACCACCTGATGCAGGGCCCCCCCATCCGCTGCTGCTGCTGCTGCTGCTGCTGCTGATCGCTGGTGCTGCTTCTCGTGCTATTTGCTGCTGCAGGCTGCTGCTCGCTCCATCTGGTGGCAGCACTGGGGGAGGGGGCCTCGGGGGCCTCAGGATTTGGGGGCCCCCCATATGTGATGGAGACCCTAGGGCACTCCTCATCCCTGCTTGCTGCTGCTGCTGCTGCTGCTGCAGCGGGGAGAGGTGCTGCATGGGCATGTGGTGCTGCTGCTGATGAGGAGGCAGTGGAGGCTGTGGGGGCAGCGGTGGCTGCGGCGGCTGCTGGTGCTGCTGCCGCTGCTGCTGCTGCAGCATATGCGGATGCTGGTGGGGAGGCTGAGGAGGCTGAGGCAGTTGATGATGGTGCTGCTGCTGCTGCTGCTGCTGCATGTGGATGGCCGGAGGAGTTAACACTGTAACACCTCCTAGAGGTGGGGGTGGTTGTTTAGCATTTGCTTCTTGAGTTTCAAGCTGCTGCTGCTGCTGTTGCTGCTGCTGTTCGCTTCCATGCGTAGGGGGCCCCATAGGTGGGGGGCCCCCCATATAATAAGGGTGGGGCCCCTCCATACTGGCCATGGGGGCCCCCCCCCCATAGCCAGCACCAGGGTACGGGGGGCCCCCCATAAAGAAGCCTCCACCTGGCTGCATCATGGGGGCCCCCTGAACCATCATGGGGGCCCCAGGGGGCCCCATAGGGGGCCCCATTGTATGAGGCATGCCTGTCATAGGGAAGTAAGGGGGCCCCCCCCCAACCATACACATACCTAGGGGTGCTGAACCCCAAGGACTGCTGCCGTGGGGGGCCCCCCAAGGCGATCCTGCTGCTGCTGCTGCTGCTGCTGCTGCTGCAACAGGGGAAGCACCAGGCGCTGCTGCAGCTCCAGGGGCAGCACCACCCCCTTGTTGCTGCTGCTGCAGCTTCTTCTGCTGTGCTGCAGCGTAAGCTGCAGCAGCTGCCTCGATGCTGTCGGGGGGAGGAGCCGCTTCCTCAGCTGTGGCGTTGCTGTCAGCAGCAGCAGCAGCTGCTGTAGCAGGCTGCTCTCCTGCAGCAGCTGCAGCGGTGTCTCCTTGGCTGCTGCTGCTGCTGGGTGCATGCGGTATACCGGCGTCTTTGGGGGGAGCGGGCGGCGGTGCTGCAGCAGCAGCAACCCCACCTGCTGCTGCTGCAGGCGCCTTCCCTTCTTGCTGCTCGCTTCTCTGAGCAGCAGCAGCATTTGCTGCTAGGTGCGGTGGCGGTGGAGAGAGACCTGCTGCTCCTGATGCTGCTGCTGCTGGGGAAGCAGGTGCTGCGGCTTCTGTTGCATCTCCTGCTGCTGTTGTTGTTGCTGCTGCTGCTGCTGCAGGGTCTGCGTTGTTGCTGGATGGAGGAGCGAGTATGAGAGGTTCTCCCGGTGCTGCTGCAGCAGCATTTGCTGCTGCAGCAGGGCTGCCTAAAGGAAGAGGTGCAGGTCTTCCTGCTGGCGCCGTGATGATAAGAGGGGGCCCCCTGGGGGCCCCCACGAAGGGCCCCATAGGGAAGAAAGGTGAAGGATATCCTATGACTGGAGCTCCTGGTGCTGCTGCTGCTGCTGCTGCTGCTGGTGGAGGGGGCCCCCCAGGCAGCAGCACTCTCGGTCTCGGTAGAGCAGCAGCAGGAGCAGCAAGTAATGGGCCCCCAGGAATAAGTGGAGGCGCAGCAGCAGCAGCAGCTGCTGCAGCAGCAGCAGGGCCTGCTGCTGCAGCCACAGCTGCAGCAGCAGCAGCAGCAGGAGGTGGAGCCCCTGCTGCTGCTGCTACTGCTGCTGCTGCTGGAGCTCTATGCTCCTCAAAATGACAGAATGTACAGGAGAGACTATCTTTCGGACAAGAGCCGACAAGAAAGAGAGAGCAAGGTCTGCATACACCTCGTGAATGTAAAACATAAGAAAAATGTCTCTGCTTATCTGTTTTATCTGCATGCGATGCATGATGACAGTAATTGCATGCATCTCCGAGACACCCGGGCTCTCCGCTATGAATAGGTGCACACGGTAGACATAAGTTTTGCTGATGCAGCAGCAGCATGAAGTACTTCGGGCTGCTCTTGCTGCGATGCTCTTCATTGTGGCAGCATCCGCAAAACTCGCGGGCCCCACACCCTAACGAAGAAGAAAAATAAGACAAGCAAGGCCGGCAGCTACCCTTTGCATGCAAACTCGCAACTTGTTCTTGTATTGCTTCCGCTTCCTTCTGCATCGCTTGTTGCTGCACATACACCCCAAATATATATATATATATATACATATATAAATATATATATATATATATTTATATATATACTACGAATAAATACAATCAATAACAAATAGGAATACATACAAGATATACACACAATGCTTACAAAACAAACAGCAGCAGCAGCAGCAGCAGCAGCAACACCGCCTGCAGCAGCAAGGACAATACCAGCAGCAGCAAGAACAACACCAACAGCAGCAACAACAGCAGCAACAACAACACAAGCAGCAACAACAACAGTTGCAACAACAACAGCAGCAGCAGCAGCAACAACAGCAGCAGCAGCAGCAGCAACAGCAACAGCAACAACAGCAGCAGCAGGAGTGTGAGCGTACGATTTCAGGAGTAAGATGTGAGGAGTGGTGACACTGGAGACAGTTTTGTTCGGGGAGACACCTCTTGCCTGCTGTAAGCGAGCGACAAGCAGTGCAGAGCCCCCTTTCATGCTTCTTCTGCATCCATCGGTGCGCTTCTGCTATGTGAGGATTAATGAATACTATTTCCTGCGGTGTACAGGCAGGTACACAAAGAACAAACAAACAAGATGATATATATTATATATAATATATATATTATATATATATATATAAATATAACCATTCAATATTTGCTGCTAATCACAGCTTCTATTGCTTTCTTTGTCTCCTTTCTAAGAGGAGACATCTCAACTTATTAATATACAAAAGCATATATATATATATGTATATATAACATATATACATATATATATATGTATATATATCGCTGTCTGTCTCTGTCTCTGTCGCTGTCTCTGTCTCTTTGTGTCTCTGTTGTGTCTACAACTTTCTTCGTGTCTCCTTTCCTGTCTCTGTCTGTCTCTTCCTTTGTCTGTCTGTCTCCTCCCCTTTCATTTGTCTCTTTGATTTTATTTATCTTCTTTACTTTCTCTGTGCAGCTCTGTCTCTTTATCTGTCTCCTCCTGTCTGTCTCTTTGATTTTATTTGTCTCCTCTACTTCGTCTCTCTCTCTCTCTCTCTCTCTCTACTTTAGCTGTCTCTCTTTGTCTGTCTCTATTTATTTTATTTGTCTCCTCTTCTCTGCCTGTCTCTCTTTATTTTGTCTCTCTTTGTCTGTCTCTATTTATTTTATTTGTCTCTCTTTGTCTCTCTCTCTCTATTTTATTTGTCTCCTCTCCTCTGTCTGTCTCTATACTTATTTTATCTGTCTCTCTTTGTCTGTCTCTATACTTATTTTATTTGTCTCTCTTTGTCTGTCTTTGTTTATTTATTTACTCTTACCCCTTCTTCGCCTACAAGACCCAGTCGCGGTTTCTCTCCTATTAGCGGTGCGCTATTTTTGCTTGCGTCTCCTTCTCCTTCTCCTGTCTCCTCAGAAGGCAGCAAGTCTAAAGGCTGCAGCAGCAGCAGCAGCAAACAACAGCAGCAGCAGCAGCAGCAAGCAGCAGCAGCAAGCAGCAGCAGCAAGCAGCAGCAGCAAGCAGCAGCAGCAATTCGGAGAAGCATTATTAATAACAATCTCTTCTGTCTCCTTCTATCTCTTTTTATTTTCTCTACTCCTATACACTCAACTCCACCTCCTCATTAGCTAGCTAGCTAGCTAGCTAGCTACCTAGCTAGTCCGCCAGGTAGCTACCTATCTAGCTAGCTGTCTACCTAGCTAGCTAGCTAGCTAGCTACATAGCTACCTGACGAACTAGCTGGGTAGCTAGCTAGCTAGCTAGCTAGATAGCTACCTGACAAACTAGCTAGCTAGCTAGCTAGCTAGCAATAAAGTTGTATGTATGAATGACTAGTCTTACGAGCGGAGTATTAATAGAGCGAGGCATGTGGGGCCTGTGGTCTTCATGATGACACTGGAGACAAATTAAGTTTTTTGCTGCTGCTTTGCATACTCCGTCAGCAGCAAAGAAAGGCTTACAGGGCTGGCACCAGCCCTTGCGGTGTCTCTCGAGGGCATACTGCAGCTGCTGCTCCCGGCTGTCTTGCTTCTTACCCTATTCATACACATACGCAAACACATACTGCTGCTGCTGCTGCTGTTGCTGCTGTTGTGGCTCTTGCTGGGGTGCTTTCCTGCTGCTAATCCTGCTAATCCTGCTGCTGTAGAGGCTGAGCTTCGGAGGGCCCCACAGCAACAGCAGCAGCAACAAGAAGAGCAGCAACAGCAGCAAAAGGAAGCACCATCAGCAGCAGCAACCGCAGCAGCACCATCAGCAAATGACACTGCACCAACAGCAGCAGCAGCAACAGCAGAAACAGCAGCAAACAGCAGAAACAGCAGCAAACAGCAGAAACAGCAGCAGCAGCAACAGCAGCAAGATCAGGCGTAGTTTACCTTATCTTTTTTGTTTTGATTTTGTTTTTGAGTAGAAGTCTGCTCTGCATGCGTTGGGTGGTGACAGAAGGCGCAGTCTGTCTCTTTGCTGCAGCAGCCGCTGATATGGTCGGTGCAAGGGAGACAAGTACCTGCTTCATGCTGTCTTGCTACTTGCTGCTGCAGACTCAACGTCTCTCCTGCTGCTGCTGCTGCTGCTGATGGTGCTGGTCCTGCTGCTGCTGCTGCTGCTGCTTCTTCTTCTTCGCGTTTGGTGTCCCTCTCCTGCTCTTGGGAATCACCAGATGCAGCAGCAGCAGCATCAGCAGCAGCAGCAGCCTGCTGCTGTTCTTGCGGCTGCGAAGCAGAAACAACGCTGGGGCTGTTTTCACCCTCCGCTGCTGCTGCTGTTGTTGCTGCTGCTGCTGGCTCCTCCTCACGAGCCGTGCCTGTCTCCTTTGCTGCTGCAGCTGCAGTAGGGCTCGGTTCCGGGTCTTCTGCTGACACCTGCAGCAGCGACAGCAACAGCAACAGCAGCAACAGCAGCAAATAGACAAAGAGAAGCAGAAAAAAAGAAATAATTTATTTTTAGAGACAGTTAATAGAAAGGAGACAGTTAATAGAAAGGAGACAGTTAATAGAAAGGAGACAGTTT